ATTATTTATTTATAAATATATATAAAATAAGACCAGTTTAGAAAAGTGTATTAAAATATCTTTAAGTAAAAGCTGGTAACTTTTTAATAAATAGAATTTCAGACAAAATACCCTTGCTTTTAAACAGTTCTGAATGGTCATAATGTAAGAAGGGAACACTAAGGAAAAATAAAACTGAGCCACTGTTGTTTAAATATTTTCTAGACCACCAAACCCAGCAGTGACTCACTGTAAATATTACTTTTTTCAGAAGTTACCAATAGGTTACAAGTAGATACATTCTGACAAATATTATTTAATTTGATAATGAGAATAGTGAGGAGGAGGATCATCTTATTTTCTGCTTCAAAAGAATTATAAAGACCAAACAACTAGTAAAAAGCAGATATACCTACTCAATGGATATATGAAAATTTGAAAATTGCTACTCTCTACTGAGAGAAGGACTAGCTTTAGTTAATGAGGTGTTTTGGCTCAGCCAACCACTTGTAATGAAATGGACTATGCCTATGTTTTATTCAGCTACCCAGGAGAACATAATCAGCTCCTCTTCTATTTATGTCCATCCATTGTTAATCTCTAGACTCAAAGGCATTACGGTGTTGTGTACAGGAAATAATCTTTTGTGAGTCGGGAGGCAAGAGAGGACAACACTAGAGCTTGGTCCTCACCCCTTGCCAGCTATTAGCACCAGCTGGTGAGAGAGTTAAATTCTGCATTCTGAGATGTGTTGCTGGCAACCAGCATTTCACTCCCAATTCAGAAAAGAGGCATGGATGGAAACCTGCCTCAGAATCTCTGATTACATGTGTTTTCACCCAAGTTTGGACAGCACAACTGCCGTCTGATGTTTGCACTTGTTTGAACACAGTCTGCCATCTTTAAGATTGTTGGCTGAAAGTGTTAAACTGATATACAGTAGCATTTTTGGGCCAGACTTGTTTTTAAGATACAGCCCCTCCTGAGGTCTCCAGAGGCAATGTAATCTATTAAAAGCCTTTTGCTCAAGGCTGTGTGTACAGACACAGACTACCGTTGAATTTGTAAGGCATTATCCAGTTAATTTTACTTAAAATTATGTAGGGAGCTAAACTCATCCTTCTTAGAATTTCAGTGGTTATGTCTTGGGCCAGAGTTTATAAGTCTCCTACAAATCTGATTTTTAGCAACAGGCATCTTTCTTGTGGAATTACACATGAATTTCACCCACATGCAAACCAACTAAAATACCAGTTGGTAAACAGTTTGCATGGTTAGCAAGATCTTAGAAAGAGTATTATTTCACTAACTGTGCAATCATTCTCACTTGCAAACACTTCTCTGCCCGATCATCAAAGACTACTATACTTTATCTCTTGGTAGTGTGATCACACGCATTGTACAACTGCCCAATAAGATAAATGTCTCATTCCTGAATGTAATCAAGAGGGAACAGCCATTGTTTATCCCTCAGCTGCTGCTCAAACACATACTGTCAGCTGTCATGATTTGGAACAGAACAACCTTGCATCAGAACCAACAGGGAAATATCACTGGGATGTTTTGCAATTACCTCACTCTGTAGTTTGTATGCATTCTTGGCACACCGCAATCTCACATCATCAGTCAAAGAAGTGTACTGGTGTAGCAGCTGTCTGTATTCTTGTTCACTGACCAAAGACTGGGCTTTCCTGGCATGTACCAAGTTTATCATATCCAGTGGCAGGTGGAAGTGAGTCTTTGTATCCTCAAAACCTTGCTTATATTTCACCTATCAAATTAAAAACAGATCACACAGATATCACAACATGGTAATTAGAATTCAGGTTTTGCTCAGAAGAGACATGCTCCATATTTCTTCCATTTTCCACTAGAAATTATTCCTTTTGAAAGTAAGTTCCCTAACTTTTTTAATTATCTGTGAATGATCAATAGTTATAAATAGAATATGTGCCAGCCTATTCTTCATCAAAATAGTAACTATCTACATTATATTCAATTAAGTTGAGATATTATTTATAATTATTTTTTGTTAAAACTGGATACATTGAATCTATAAAATTACCAAACTGATAAATGAATTCTTAATTTTCTGCATTTCTAGAAAGCACAACAAAAAGGTGAAGCTACTGCCTGAGGATAAAATGCAAACAGCCATATTTACATTAGAATTAGTACAAATCCTCACTCAAAATATTTGTTGGTCTCTATTGATTTGGCCAGTTTCATTTCATAGTTTTAAATGTTATTTTTAGTGCTGGGGTTTTTTTTCACTTCTTGTCTCCATCCAGGGAAAGAAAAGTGTAGAAATCTTCAAAGAACTTTTTTTTTTACATGGCATTTCCCTATCAGATTATGCAAGTTTGAGAAGTTCAGGCTGTTCATCCAGATAATGAATATCCAGAGTTACTGATGATCATCAAACTGATTTAGGGTAACCTGATAGATGGATGAATTCTTCAGACACTTACTGGTAACTGTATCAGTCTAAAACATACCATCACACAAGAAAGAATCCCAGTACATGCCCAGCACTCACTGAAATCCATGAACACTCTCCCATCTATATCCACAATCAAGCTCATTATGGACAGTTTCAGTAAGAAGATAAATAGTTCTTAGATTATTTGTGCTTAAAGTCAGGCAAATATTTCATTGCTTTCTGGATCAAGCCACAGTGTCCAACATGCACTGAACAGTTACAATTCTTATAGACAATGAACAAATGATGTGATTCTTAGCATATCCCAAGACCAAGTGGGAACCATTCCCCAACCAAAAAAGTCCAACTTGAAATTCCATAAACACATTCATCCTTCAGTCTTTCAGGAAAACAGTAAATTGAAAATAATCACTGAATAACTTTGTATCTCTACCAAATTTAATTTACTTCTGCACAAAGACTACTACTACTAATTCTGTTAGACCTGCCTCTGAGTGATACTTCTGCAAAGTAAAATACTCTATGGTAGGCAACAGTGGTACGCAGCAGGGAATTGTGCAAGAATGCAGTCTTCTTTTCTTGTTAAATTGTTATTGTAAATAATGTAAAAGAATGGTAAGAATATAATGATTATATCAAAATATCTGGAAAGTGGGAGAGAAAGCCCTAAGTTTTAAATAGCATGTTACTCCACAGCTATTCCACTGCTAAGTGCTGCTTCTATGAGGAACTGCTCACTGTTAGGAAACCAATTCCAAAATAGCCACACCTTCTTTCTTGTACTTACATCACTCTGCAGTGATGCTGCATGGACTGAATGAGCAATATGAATATCACCATCCAGGCCACGTGAGCCAACCATCTGTCCTTTCATTTTCTGAAATGCCTCCTTATACTTGTACTAAAAAGGAAGTTAGAATAGAAATGTGAATAGGAGTGAAGAGAAGTATTAGTCAGATTGTTAAAACCTGAATAAAAGGGGTTTCATATTACAGAAAGAGAGCTATGGACAATAAATTCTGGCTATACTTAATATAAAAATAAATCTGAATGAACCTTTAGCCGATGCTAGGAAGACCTCACCTGTTCAAACATTTTAATATTTTGTCCTATTTAGAGAAAAACACACACAAAAAAAATACACCAATGAACACTTACAAATAGCTTGGGTTAGTTCCCTGCTATTACACAGGTGGTGCAGGTGCTCAGAATCAACCTCTGAGGAGCCTTTCTCCACCAGCTCTCTAGCAAAGTCAGAACAACTGGTCTCATGCTTGAAATTAATCTGTATATCTCTACAACCTTTAAAGGACACCAAAGGCAACCCCAGAAGGGTAGAATGTCCTGAATAACCTCTCTCTTCCAAATCTAGCCTAGCTAAGTAGCTGACAGCTCCTGAGCAATCCCTGTGACTGTCCAGTTGCTACAGCAAGTAAGTTGGTCAACTTTGCTAATGGATGGTTGCTTTCACAAACCTTCTTTTGTTTAGTTACCAATAACACTTCATCGTGGCTGTGCCTCCAAAAGCACAACTAACTAGACTGAGACCAGATGTCTCCCGGATATAGAGCTGGCTGGACATGCTGTTTCCATCAAGAGTCACTCAGCAGAGCAGAAACAGTTTGGAGTGACTGACATATTCTACCAGACAATATCAGCAGTAAGTTCACGTACATCACTTATGATTTTACCCAAAGCCTTTGCTGCCTGGAAGGGAATGGCATCTAGTTTCAGTTGATAGCCACCGTCTTTCATCTTTCTCCAGGACTCCTTATAGCGAATCTAGGAAATATGGAATAGGAATAAAGCAGAGTGCTGTTCAGAGGGTTGACACTGCAGCATTATTGCCATATGAGCAATGTTACCGTATTACTTTCATTCTATTCTAATGCAGAGGGCTAACATAAATGAAACTATCAATATACAACAGGAATAATCGCATTACAAATGTTGACTGTAAAAATTTATTTGTTTGTTCATTCTTAATCTTTCTAACTTAGAAGTTTGATAAGAAGTTTGATTACTCATATTACTTCAGAAATATTTAGACCATAGAATGATCATATACTGGGGAAAGGAAAGAAATACGGTATGATTTCCTGTGTAAGACAAATAGCAAAGCATTACCAACTTTTTCACTTTCCTTTAAAATATTAAAGGTCAGATATATACCTCACTGATATTCATAGCATTTAATTTGGCCTGAAGGATTTCAGGAAGATCTGTTGTTGGTGTATACTGATGCTTTACACTCTCTCCATGCTCTTTGTACAGCCTCTGCAAATAGAGATGAATTTCAGTAGCAAGTACTCACTACACACTATCACTAGTTCAGACAAAAACATTAACAAATTAGTTTATGGAAAGCAAAGACTACAGAAAAGTGACAGCAGCATTAATAAATACAGGCAATTATATCAGTCAAAAAGTATTCAAAAAGCTTTGGGAGCCTGATACACCTATCAGCTAGAGTATGCTAGAGAGGAATTCCTTGAAGTTTTGACTGTATAAATCAATGTATATGAAAATTCAGATATTTAAATATTAATTTGATAAAAGTTCCAACAGAAGTGAATAGGGAGAGGGAGAATAAACAGCATTTATTAAGGATGTGCAGCCATGAGTCACCCACCAACACTCCAAAATTCCACAGAAATCTAGGGAGTTGAAGTTCCAAAACACATCTCTCCAAAGTTGTTCATTTTAACAGATAAATATGATGGTAATTATCTGTGCAATTACTCCAAATTTATTTCCAGAGTTATTTGCAAGTGGGTGCTCAATAGTCAATGGCAAGAAATTAAAAAAAACTCAGAAGGTGACTGATTCCATCATAAAACAGGTGTCTATGTGGTCTACTCATATCAATTCTTGGGGAAGAATATAGGGTTGGCCCAGGACTAGCTAACTTTTGGATGTCTGCAAACAAATAAGAGGAGTTCTACACAGTTAACTGGAGCTTCCCCTACAATGGCTATGCAGAGCTCACCTCTTTCACATTATTTTTCTTTCCTAGCTTAGTTTCTTCTTACACTGATAGCATAATTTTCAGATGAGTACAGATAGCCACCACTTTTTTTGGCCTTAGATATGACCCATGTCTTGACCACCCGACTTGCCTTTCCCAGGATATTCTTTTTGTGTGAGGGTTTGAGACCCCCTAGGTTAGAATGAGCCTCTTAATTTTACCTTGCTGCCGCTTTCTTTAGCAAGTAGGCCCACTTGTACTGCAGCTCCATAAGAGGAAAATTAATGAGAACTCCATGCGTTAAGAAGTAGAGCAGCAGACTGATTTTGACTGTGGCTCAGTGGAACAAAATGACTTATATTTATCCTGCCTGAGATGTAAGCCTTTTGGATCTTATTAATTAAACCAAAGGCATAGACACTATAAGTATTAAAATAGCATGTGTTTTACATGAAGTCTTTCATCTTCTTCTTCACTTTAAAAATATCTATTTTCACAATAAAACATCCTCTCATGTTTGAAACTTGTCTTTTTTGAGTGACTTTTGCTTATTATTCATTTCTGTATTATCCCAGTTAAGTCTACAATATTTTTAAATCGCTCTTCTATTAAAAATAAACATGTTTAAACACCAAACAGCCTAAATTCTTCCCTTTAAGATTTCCCCTCCTGGATTTCTCTCTCAGCAGGATGACAGCTTGAAATAATTTATTTTTCTTCCTTGTCATGCTGACTTACATTTTGTTTCCAAAGAATATGCAGAAACTGAAATTTCAAAGATCTGTTTGAAAAGGGGAAAAAACCCCAAATGTGATTTTCCTCAATGAATCTCAAAAGGCCAAAAGTCTCTAGAGGTCAAAGGTCAGTCTTACTCCTAAAATTTACTTCTGGAAAAAAAAATTGGACAGAAAGCCCTTTTTACATGAAATTCCTATTCACTTCAGTGGGATCTCTATGACTTCCCATTCCAAGTTAGAAACATGCTCTTTGTGAGATGCACCACACCAGAACACAGAAGTTTCATGGTTCCCAAGGATAATCTCAGAGAAAGAGAGAGAAAGCCAGTGCTTCAATCAGGTCGTTCAAAGAGGATACCACTCTTATAATCATAATGTATATACATTATAACTTACATCCACAGCCTGGTTATAACTAATTCTAGCCTGGATCATCTCAGGAGTGTCTTTAATACTGGTAAACTTCAAAGCATATGGATGCTGACGGTACTTCTTCTGTTGAGCAGAAAAAGATCAAAGCTGTGAATTTTGTGCTGCTCTTTCATGCTATTTGAAAGAGAAAAATCATAGGTTGCTGGAGATTAGAGTGAATTTGTGAACATAATTATTATTCCTCTTTCCTCATCTTATGTCCTAGGTACTTTCAGATTAATATTTGTTTCAATTTAACAATAACCTTTTGCCGATTAATATTAAAGTATTTCTCCCTTAATATAAGGAAAACATTTCAAAATCAGATTCTGCTTACCTAAATACTCCAGGACTCAGGATTTGAAAATCTTTTTCAGATTACTTCAAATACCGTATGACTGATTATATTTTTTATTTATACTTTCTTTAAGCAAGAAATTATATACAATTGTAGTGTGTTAATAACAGCAACCATTAACTTATTTCAGGGTTTAGGCTTCCTCCTAACAAACACCTATAGCAAATCTGTGCAGCCATAAGACTGTGTCTAATTGTTATGGTATATCTTCTAGATAATATTAATACTGCTTGCTTGAAAGGACCCATAGTAGCTTCTGAGAGATCTTGTTATATACACACATAATTAAGATGAAGGCTGTTTGATGGCAAAATGACACTTTTTCCATATGGGCCTGGTCACTAAAAGCTTCCTTTCCTGTATGAGTTGTCCTATATCCATCGATACTCTTATCTCTTCTCCAAATAGTGCATACTAATTTTCCCCATGCCTGTGATGATCTCCCAATTCAATAAGCATGTTCATGGCTCTTTGGGAAATTGTCTCTCAGTGTTCCAATCTAAAGGCATGCCACTCCTTTAAACTGAACTGTGAACCACAGAAGTTTATTTGAGGCAACATCTTGATCCTTTGGGGACTCAAAACACCAATATAAAACACGTTAACTCTTTGACGGTATTACAAGCTTATGAGCAATGTTTTGGTTTCAGAAAGAAATCCCTTAAAAATGAGCAATCTTACAGAGTTTAACTGGGGACAAAAGTGCTTACGCTTTGTCCTGATCAGCTGTAGAGAAAAATAAGAGTTGACCAGAACACGTCTACATAAAATTCCTAGAAATTATATTCCAGCAATTGCTTTTCAGCAGTATTATGAGGGCTAGTCACTCTGTGTATGTAAGAATGGAGGTGGCTCACAGCCACCTAAAATTATTTAGTACTCACAAAAAGGTTGAGATGAACAATCTAGGAGGTCAAATTTCTACTTGGCAGTTTTCACTACTATAACATCAATATGGTATGCCTGTACAGATTCACAGTTACTATTCCAGCCAGCTTTTATGAAGCTACCTTGCTTTACACTAGCTGAGGATATAGTTTATTTTGTCTAAAAAAATCATCCTTCTTCATTGTAGATGATTACATGGGAAAAAATAGTGTTAGCAATCAGGCACACATGAAAGGATGACAAAATTTTTCTAGAGACGTTACACCAGTGGTTATGCTGTTATTCTCATTGAGTGAATGGACAGATGCTTCCCACATCGCAGTAGTTATCTAAAAAATAACAGTATTCAGTCTTCTACTGCAGTAGATTTGGCCAGTAGGACTGTATCCAAAATAACAGAAACAGAATACTATGACCCTTTTAACCATTTCCACCAGAACCTTCTTTGAAGGTTTCATGGGACTGGCACAAAGGCTTCTAGAGTTTGCCGTTTCCTGTACGTGATAGTGGTTATAGGGAGAAATAAGGATGAAAACTACTTGGGCCGATAGCTAGCTACAGACAGAGATATCTATATGAATTTCAATAGCTAACGTGAATATATATGAAAAAGGAGCAAGGAGGAACGTGTATGTGTTACAAAAGAAGGTTCTCGGTCCAATGACTGCATCTTTTCATCATCTCTCCTGTTTTGCTTCATTAAAAAGGTAGGTTAGTGGGTAGCAATTGAGCACTGTTTGATTGCCATTATTATTCATAATATCATTTGTCACCTACTTTGTTTTTGCAAAGGCTATATGGACTCCTACTGGTGTGTGTTTGGTATCTGGTTTCCCTCTAATTACCAGTCCTATCCCTGGTTTTGAGGGCTTTCATGTGGTATGCCTTTTTCTTTCCCCTTTGAGTAGAAATTATTTTAATTTTATACAGACATTTTGCACACATTATGCAGCAAATTCTGTTACATGCTGTCATGAAATCTCACCTCACTAATGAGTTCTCCTGCCTTCTTAGCCTGCTCCACATTTAATGACCCAGTGGCTATCCATCCAGCTCCTTTCATCCAGTTCAAATCTGCTCTGTATCGGTTCTGACAATGAAAAAAAAAAGTCCTATTGTTGGTGTTCATACACTTAAAATGCCATTAAAGGATTCAGACATCTCAGGAACAACAACCAAGTCAAATTAATGTCTGCTTTTGTTTTATTCACTATTGCACAGTTGCAAGGAAAGCAAAAAAATTATGGAATGAAATAGAAGTGTCAGGACTCACCAGCACTTGTGCAATATGCTGTGCAAGTTAATTTTTAGAAGTGGTCTACACTTTACTGTCATTTGTAATTTTTAATCTAACATGGCAAAAACTTCAGTTTTATTGTACATAGTGCTCTGTTTAAAAGATCATTAATTATTTGCAGTGATAAGAAAATAATATTTAGCATTTTCCAACCCTTGTCCTTTTGTTATACTGGAAGGAAAGCATTTTGGTTTGTTTTTTCCATGTGTCTTTAAGGAGGAACAGTACAGAAGTACTTCTCACTTTCCTCACAAAATCTCTCCTACCAACTTCAGTTATACAAGCACTACAGCTGGGTTTTTCAAAGAAGCCAGAAGGGTTTCAGCACCTATACTTCAACAAGACCTGTATACATATCTATCTTAGTCTCCTTGAAAAGTTATGACTTAAAACCTCAGAACAGAAAGTCTGACTTTAATAGTAACTATTTACAGTATCAGACAGTTCATCTGATGGTTACAGCTAAACAGGTGGTCTCCATATGGAATTTTATCAGCAATTTTATCACCATAAATTATTTAACCTCCCTGCACGTTAGCTAAAAAAAAAAATATAAAATTGTACATCGTATATGAATCCTAGTTTTTTATTAACATTTGAAGTAGGCTTTGAAGAAGCCATGCTCATAAACAGGCTTAGAACTCCCTCAAAAATACCACACACCTTAAATATATCTCTTGAGCAAACAAGTAGTTAATATTTACTGTTTTAATATTAACTATTTAATAGTTGAAAAATTAGGTGCATAAATATGTCAAGGCATTAAAAGCATAAATGTCTGAAGAAACTCAGCCCTAAGTGCCTGAAGGGGTTTAATGAAAGGGTGTTGAAATACATTAAGCTCTAGACTTACATCACTTTGCAATCCGTAAGCCCACTTGGCCCATGCCACTTTCATGTCAGTAGGCAGGGCTGTGTATTGATGGAGAGCTGTCTTGTATCCTCTGTCTGTGACCAAATTCTGAGCCTTTTTGGCATGGACAAGGTTAACCATATCCATGGAGACCTGGAACTGATTCTTCGTGTCCTCAAATGCCTTCTTGTACTCCAGATCACTCTGCAACTTTGACATCTGAAGGGAATGAGCCATCTGTGAATCTTCCTCCACAGCTTTTACTCCAATCAGTTTACCCTTCATCTTCTCATAACCTTCCTTATATTTAATCTGTGAATTAAAAAATAGACCACAAGTAAATGATCTAAGCTGCCAAACTGACAGCTCTGCTAGTAGTAAAGCAATGGTCTTTCAGTGTTGTGACATGCTTGGTCCTCGATAAGAGCAAGTTAAGAAGTCCATTTGCAAAAGAGAACTGGAATGCCTAGAAATTAGTACGTGTTTATAATGAATAAACCCTTTCTCAATAATAATATGTTCACAAAAAGGTTTAAGAAATCTTTTCTTTTTGGTTCTCTCTAGGAAAAAACATTTTTTAAGCACTGAGGTCAGAAGGTTCTTTCAGGAATTTTCTGGCCAGGCATAGATGCATTAAGTTATGATGTTTCACAGGAGATTTCCACTTCATTTTGAGTTCTAAAATTCACCCTCGGGTCAAAATGAGAATAGGAAAACACAATCAGCATGTGGGGAAAAACTTTGAATTGCTCAGAGCAAACCTTCTGACTAATTACAGAATGCCAATCACCCAGACAACTCCTCCGTTGCTCCCTAGCATGAATCCAGTGAGGGTGGCTCAGGGCACTGGGACATATGTGACTCGTGCTCAACACTCTGGTAGCAACCTGGATTGCCAGCTGTTCCAAGAATAAAGAAGGCTGATGGAGTCCATACTCACATCACTTGCCAGATCCCTCTTTGCCTTGGCTGTCAAGAATGACAAAGCATCCAGACGAAGCACAAATCCTTTTTCCTTCTGCTTCTCCCAGCTACTCTTGTAGAGTTTCTAAAGAGATGACAATAACACAGTCTTTTCATTACTATCAATATATTCTATTTGGTTTATAGTCACAGTGAAAGCTCTCAAGTAACATCAGACAAGCGTACACTCCATGCCCAGGAACCATATGTCTAAGGATCAGATCCTGATGTCTTCACTTACATACTGTAACTGTGGATACTGTAACCCCATTATCTCACTGGTTCCACTCATCTGGAAGCATGTGGAAAGTATACAGCTTCAAACTCTAAAAGTGACAAGTCTTCAGAACAGCAGATGGGACTAGTATTTAAGTAAGAGCAAGTAATCAAATTTAGATATAAAATTTTTATGTCTAAAACATTTGGACCTTCTCAAAGAAGGAACCTAACTTTTACCTACAGAACAAACATTTTAACAGCAGCTGTAACTATTCACAGGAGTGAGGGAATCCAAACCTCTGTCTCACACAGTACCTCACTGATATTAGCAGCATTTGCTTTGGCCAGTATGAAGACAGGATCATCTTTGCTGATGGTGTACTGATGAAGAAACTGCTCCTTTCCTGACCTGTAGGCAACCTGTCCACAAAAAGCAAAGCATGTTTAACAAGCAGTAGTCCATGTTTAATGTTGAAGGAATACTGATTAAAACACAAATATTCAACGATTTGTTAGGGTTAATTTGGTGAGTTAGTCTTTAGCATCATGACTTTTTTTGCCAAATCTGAATTAAAAAGCTGACCCACAGAGTCAGGTTGACCAAATTACCCATGGTTAAATTTTAAGAAAGCAGTGAAACAACATACATATTGGGATACTTTAATGCTCTTCCATAAAGTTAGCTACTTAACTGGCTATAAAGCTGACATTAACTCATACTCAGTACAAAATGTATGCAAGAATATATTTCACCCAATATTAAACTGGATCTACTTTTTAGGTGGAATTAAAGGACACAGAAATAGTGAACTTTAGGCATGAAACGAAGAAAACTAAGCAACTGAATCTGCAAGGAAAATTTGTGACCTAAATGTAATTGCTGACATAATACTCCAATGAGGACTAACATTCCAACGTTCAATGAAAATATACAGGACCTTTTATGATCCAAGCAGCAAACATCTCCATTTTATATCCCAGGGCAACGTCAACAGAGAAATGAACTGCTCTGTTTCAGAAGCCCATAAAGCTGTTGGACAAGCTGTTGAAAAGCTATGAAAAGATGTCCCATTTCACAAGGTGTTACATTTCTTATATCTCACAGAAAAAGAAAAAAAAATATCCCTGCTACAAAGCTCTAAATCCATGGTTACTATTCTGACTTCAACACACATACAGAAAGGCAGCATTGTCCAGTACGTAGGGGATAAGTATCGGGAGTCAGGAGACCAGCATTCTCCTCTGGTGTCATCTTTGAGACACACGACACTCATCCAAGTAAGTGCCAGGTTTTCATTGATGCAGAGGGGCAAAAAAAGGCAACATGGTAGCTGCCTGAAAAAGACCAATCAAGAAGCAATAATGCTTCATTCACATAACAACTAAGAAGCTGACAGTATCTTCAGTGTGAGGCACAACATATTAAAAGTAATTTAAAAAAAAAAAGCTTTGCAAGTCACGACTGTTCCAAAATTAGTTGGTCAGCAATTTTAACAGGTTCCCCCTTTTTTTTTTTTGAAACTTAAAAGTGAGTTGCTGTCACCTAAGACCTGCCAAGGAGTTCTGAAATACCATCTGCCAGGGTCACCCTGCCCCAAAGAAGAATAGGGAGCATTCTGAAGGCACTCAGTTTGGGAAAATATGCCTATTTTATCATTTTGCTAAAAGTACCTTAACAGCAGCAGTTGAAGAACATGCGGTCCAACAAGGCTGATACAGCTTTAAGTAGTCTGACAAGGCCCTCAGTGGAGAGAAACACAGAACCTGGGGTGGATGTATATCAGTCTCTGTGCTAACGTCTGTCTACCTTTGAAGCACTGCCTGAGGATCAGCTGTGTTTTCCCTCCAGCTTACTTCCTCACTTCTGCTACCAATTTTTGAGCAGATCACATTAATGCCTCAGGAATACTCAGGTATCCACTCATGAATGCATTTCAGCCATACTTGAATCCAGTCTGCACCACCCACAAGTTTGTCACCAAGACTGTCTTTTAGAGGCATCCTCCCCTCTCTCTGCCCTTTGACATCATTTATAAGAAGCCTCACTTACATATTTCCATTCATATTGGGGTTTGATTGTTGTAGTTGTTCTAGTTCAGAGAATCCAATGAGAGAATTCATCAAATAAACAAATAAAACCCCTTAGAAATAATCTCAAGAAATTTCATGTATTGAAAGGTTTCATGACTAGGTTCTCTTCCACCACCAACTCAATGTACATGTCTCAGGAATGACTGCATTATGAGTAAGCTACTTGCAAAGACACAAATTCAGTCAAGGACTCACATCACTTTGCAGTTCTTGGCTTTTCTTGGCATGCTTGATCTGAGAACTGTCAGCCACACTGGTGAACTTCAGAGCATCAGCCTTCTGTCTGTACTTTTTCTACATCAAATTAAAGCAGGTTACACAAAAGTTTCTACAGTATTTACTTTCCCCCCAAAATATAGTGCTTTCAAAAAGTACATGACTGATAGAGCCAAAAGTACTCTGTAAATTCCCAAGTAATTTTTTAGCACTCGTATCAACAAAATAAGCTTCCAAATACTAGCTAGTGCTAGTATTTTCTGCTGGGAAGACCCCAGTGGTGAGGAAGGTAGCGCAAGAGTATGCCAAATGCATTGTTGCTGACACTGCAAGCGTGGATACTCTCTGGTGGCAGATGTATTAACTACATATCTTACAAGATCTAGGTTGCACACCAGCCAGTGAGTGTTCTTCACAAACTGGGTATGACTTAAGTCAGGACCCAAGAGAGCTCATGAACTACAAAGCCAATATTACTATCTCATTTTCTTACATGAGACTTCTCAAGCATATGCATGTGCTGTTCAAATCACTGAACATATGTTACTGAGATATTTGTAAATTATTAAGATATTTCTAAATTATCAATTAAATTAGAACAGGCAATTTCAGTATCCTGAAGATAACTTAAATTCAAAATCTTCCCGACCATCTCCTAGGTTCTATTCAAAGCAGAGCTCAGCATAGACACTGCAGTCAAGCCTCCCTGGGAGCAACAGCTATGAGAGCCCTCCACAAGGCTCAAGTCTTGGATGTGGGAAAAACCATCATGCTGCATTCATCTTCTGGTACTAGTATTTATATAAAATCCATTTGAACTGAGAAATTTGCATAGAGTCTAATGTTTCTAGTTTGGTAAATAAGAGTGCCCTTACTTTTATTCCATCTTACTTTTTACTTTACATCTGAAACACACCAAAGTGAATGAAAAACTTCCACTGACTTCATCAGGCTTTGGATCAGGCCTGTTTTGAATCAATGTCTCTGCTTAAGCCTTTTGCATCACTACTTTTAGAGCAAGCTAAGCATCTCTTTCTATCTTTTAGCCAGTACAAGGATGTGCAGCACTCTATTTCAAAACCACAGGATGATAGGGGAGACCAAGCAAAGATTTCTTGTGTACTTTAGCTGAATTCTTACTCTAACAGTTCAACCATGATGTGGGGCATTCCACCTAGGAAGGGTGTATAGAATCATAGAATCATAGAATGGTTTGGGTTGGAAGGGACCTTAAAGATCGTTTAGTTCCAACCCCCCTGCTGTGGGCAGGGACACCCTCCACTAGACCACGTTGCCCAATGTAATGTGTAAATGCATTTTTTCATCATCTAGCATTTCAGGAGAGAAATCCTTCTGTTTGAACTGATGGGTTCTGTAAACAGATCAGTTTACACTGTGTCTCTGCTGGGGGAACACAAAATACAAGTTAAACAAGCACGCAGCACTTCAAAGAGGTGCTCATCGCTTTATTTTAGGAACCTAGAAGGGAGGGAGGCAGATTAAAACCAGCATGTTTTGTCACATCACATGGAACACAATGTAGTGACATTCTGCAAAGAAATGACAAAATTCCAGGCTCTGTATGGCAATAGAGATCTCTCAAATAATATCCACCAATCTCCAGTTTAAGTGACTGTCAGCCATCTTATGGCCTCGCACAGCACTGGAATGAAAAGGCAGATCACTGTGGATTAAATAGTTGTGGAAGGGATTATTACTACAGCACACCACAGCAGCAGATGTCAGTCTATCTCTAGCAAGACACTGGATCTCAGAGTACCTGCTCTTCTTTTGTTTCTAAGATGTATTTTTTCCCCTTGCAGGAGCAGTGAGAGGATGTCAGAGACCCAAGGTATCAGAGTGTGATCTCCAGTAACTAGCTGGCTTCTGTTTCTTCCTCCAGCACTATGTGGGATTTTATCCTTCCTTTCAAACTTCCCCTAATTTATTCTTCTATCTGTCCTCTAGTTTTCCTGGCACTAGTGAGACAACTCAACCATAGCTAAGCAGCTGAGGAAGTGTACTTCCATAAGGTTAATGGCAGTGTGAAACCTTGAATTAATCAAGGGAAAGAACAAGCTGAAAATGCCAGTAAAGTCACAGCCCTTATTTGCCAAAGAGAAAGGAAATTTCCAGACATGGCTAAAAAAATATCTAATTTTTCAGCACTGTTCCTTAAAACTCTATGTACTTCATGTAGCATGTACCATAGGAATTTCTGATTCCTTTAAATGCTACTCTGCAAAATGGGCAGGTGAATGAAAAGAGGTGGAAGCACAATTATATGGACTTCTTCACAAACTTGACAGAAATCAATAATCATATAATGGGAACACATATTTTTAACCTCTAATCCAGGATTTCCTAACTGTATAATGCCTAGACAATGTCCATCGGTTCCTCCACTTCTCAGACTGTCTGCATTAGGAATTCTTTACCTATTCCACATAACGTAGTGGAATAAATGTGCATAAGCCTTTGAACAAACAACAGACAGAAGTCTAAGAACTTTGCTTACCTCACTGACCAAATCTCCCGCCTTTTTGGCTTGTTGTATATTAAGACTTCCTTCTGTGATACACCCAGCTCCTTTCATCCACATCAGATCTGCCCTATATCGAAGCTGTAGAGGAAAATGACATGTGTTGGCATGGGGAACACAGGTACAATGTTTGCATGTGAACGTATGTGCACTTTCCAGTTTCAAAGACACTTTGAAGACATTTTAAAAAGTCATAGTGCAAATCAAACAATGTGCATATGAGAGAAGAAATAATGTCAAACTGAAAAACTCTACAAACACTCATACTGCTTGTAACAGTTGAGCTGAGTATGTATCATCTTACATCACTCTGAAGACCATAGGCCTTCTTTGCCCATTTGGTCTTCATATCTTCTGGAACCACCGTGTATTCATGGAGTCTCTTTCTATAGTCTAGGTCACTAGCAAGCGCCTGGGCCTTCTTAGCATGTCTCAGGTTTAACATATCCATAGGCAGATGGAAATGGGTCTTACTCTCCTCAAAATCTTTTTTGTAGGCAATCTAGAAATAGAAGGAAATGAAAATAAGTTTTCTGTATCAGTGTATTGCAAAGCAAAAACAATCTTAAATCTCCATGTAATAAAGAAGAGACATCTTCTTTATTACAGAACATCTTACTTTTAAACATAATTTTATCTGCTTGAAAGTTTCATGTAGAAGTGTCTATATTGGGGTTTTAATAGGACATTATTTTTCTGCCCCAAAATAAGGACACCATCAACCCAAAACTCTCTCTGAGAACAAAATTACTGTGCAATTATTGCAGATTAACAGACTGAGGAAGGAAGCTAATTTTTGTTAAGCACTTCCAAGATTTTCTTCTAGTGAAAGCGGTAACAGTGGTAGATTGCATATTGTTGCTGAAAGATTAATAATTATGAAAAACACCTTTTGAGTAAGAGAAATAAATAATTTACCTCACTATTCATCTTGGCCACCTGCAGAGAGTGCAAAAGTCTTGAATCTTTGCTTCCAATTGCTTTTCCTTTTGTTTTTTCATATTCTTCTTTATATTTAATCTGTGAAAAAATAGTTTAAGTGAAAGAACATTTTCAGTTACCCAAGAGATAAGCAATATGTTTTCCACTGGTGATTTGGATGGTCAAAATTTACAGGGGCTTAGTCTGATTCTCACTTTGTCACTTCAGATTTCCCAATTTTCTCAGAAATTCCCAAAGGTGCAAGGTTGGTTTCACGTATTTTGTCTTTAACCTCATTCTTTAAGGCTCATTGCTCTGAGGTGGATATACTTATAAACTTAGAGCCTTCTGATTAGCTAAATTATCTGGTTCTTAAAGTAAAAGATAAGAAATCAGTCATATAAAAACTAAGCAAGGAATTCAAGATTTGATTTTTTAATGAGGCAGGATTTCTGAATCACTGAACACTTTCCAGCTGCAGGAAAAGTTTCTTCCTTTTTTGCCTCTCCACAGGTTAAGAATCATGAAATAAGTTGTTTAAAAACAGTTTGTTTGGAATTTTTTTAATATACATGTGTTTATGTTAAAGAGGCAGACTAAAGAAATAAGCATTCTCTTAGCAATGAATGATGATAGCATTTTTTAGGCTATAAACAATTCAAACCACTGAATTTTACTATGGGAGGATTGAGCCATTGTTATTTTGCAAATTTTGCTTCCTTCTGTACACTTATATCTAAAAAAATAATATTCAGAAAGTGAAATTTCATAGCAGAGTCTGAGAAAGCTTCCAACTGTTCATCAGCCATTAAGAAAGATGAACAGCCAAATGTAGGACTTAAAAATCCGATGAAGTGAGCTAAGCTTTATTTCCCTGTGCTATAGCAACTTGAATAATTCCTAAGTAATTAAATATAACATACATCACTGGCAAGATCCCTTGAAGCTTTGGCAGCAAGTAAAGGCAAAGAATCAAGTTTCATTTCAAAGCCTTGGCCCTTACTCTTCTCCCAGCCTTCTTTGTACTTAATCTGAGAAAGAAAAGACAGCAACATGTCACTAACACATAAACACACAAGATCTTCAAATTAACATGAAAATGACTAAGAGCAAAACAGTATAAATATGCTCAGTCCACAAACTGGAACCTCCTTAAGTCACAGTTCATTATCATTTTGAGCTAATTAATTGGCCAAGATCAAGTCAAGAATTTTATTCTTGGAGTTTACAGGCACTTTAAATCCCAGAACATGCAGCAATAGCTCTCAATTTTAAACATGGCGGGGAGGGAAGGTTTTTCTAAAGTGCCTGTGGTTATGTCTACATATGCAAATACTGTGGATCAATAGGAGCTGATCTGTAAGGAGGAACAGCTGGGGCTCAGAATCAGATGTTTCACTACTCATTTCAGGATTTTTCTTTTCCTCCCGCCGCCAAACTAGAGCTAGTCAGGTCCTATGCACTGAATGCCTATCTGTAGCTGCAGTCCTTTATGTGAGCTGCTGGAGAGCACCTTTCAGTTTGGCTTCATTCGAAAGGAATCCAGCTCATGTGCTCTCAGACTACCACACAAAATGAAGCAAAGCTCCGTGAAGCAATCCCTACGATCAGATTTGCTTCAAAAGCACACTCATGAGCCACACCATATCACAAACTTAGATGAAATGCATGAGAATCACATGCTTAACTTCTGAAAGTTAATGGAAATTAAAGTACTAATTGTTTAAGCTATTTTTCAAGGTTCCACTTCAAATGCCATTAAAGCAGGATCAAGTATGCCTTCATGCTATGTATGCACCTAATGAAGTATCCAGGAAGCTCTGATTTCTGGATTTGGCTTTTCGTATGGTTATTTTTCACTAGTATCCAATGATAAGCATGCATCCCAACACATTATAGCCACAAGGTGTATTGCTCCACAACACTCCACCAATGCAACCCAAATAAAACTTAGGGGAAGAACACAAGGTACAAATGTGCCAGGAAAAATTTGCAGTAATGCCAACTCAAAACCATGAACAATTATGAAACTGGGTCAAAAATAACAGTCAGACCGGTAATAAGTCGAGTTTTTTTCTGGTTTTGCATTTATTTGTCCTGTTGGGCTTTATTCCCTCCAAAACTACCTACAACAATGGAGGTCTCAAAAACACTTTAAAAATTAAATAAAACTTGAACTTTTCCTGCAAGTGCTTGATTTTAATACCTAAGTCTCTAGGTAAATCACTACATATTGTCATAAATTATGAATGGCAGCAACAGTGGGCTTGATCCAAGTTCACTGAAGTCACTGTGTTCCTTTCCATTGACTTCAGTGGGCTTTGAGTTATTAGAACTGTGCAAATGTTGATTCTTTATAGGAATACCACCTCAGAAGCAGTTAATTTTGTGAAGTGAACACTGATTTACTAGACAAATGAAAGTTATCTGAAAAGGCCTTGGAAAAAAAAGTCTAGCAGTTTCACTGTACTTGAGATTGTATCCCTATCTATTCTGGTTACTGTATCTAATGCTGTTGAGTAAAGACCGATGATAAACGCTAAATGCTTCTAGAAACAGTGCCATCATCTTTACATTCATTTCCATTAACAGCATCATGAATACCAATATTTCCGCATTGCTTGGCTTACCTCACTGTATAACTCAGCATTGGCTTTTGCCTTGACTAACTGAGGTACGTCCTGAGGTAGAGTGTAATTTGTTTTTGTCTTCTCATACTGGGCTCTGTAGTTCAACTGCCAGATATTGAAAAAGTCAACAACAAACTCAGTTATTTTTAACTCACTAAAAATATGACGTTATACTGATTGACTGCTGTTGAATTTCAGTCTATTAATGTCATACGTTATAGAGACGCTCATGGCTGACATAAATAGGAGGGCAATAAGGAAATTATAACTTCTACCTAGGTACCAGGAAGTTGAATAATTATTCTATAAATAGAATAGTTACTGATTGTCTAAAAGTAGAAAATATCTGATTAAAAAAACATGCATTAATAAATACACAGAAGGTAAATCCCTAAAAAAGTGTGCTAATACAAATCTTAAAAATAAAGGAAAATATTAAATCTACTGGTATGCTTGCCAAATTTTTGGAAGTGATTTAATTCAATCTGTTTTCTTGTTTTGGTTGTAAATCTGCTGATGAACTATCAACAATAAGAACAGTTAAGTGCTACAAATGTTATGAAATAAAATTATCTCATAATTCTAATAAACAATGATGGCTAATGACAAAACTTACATCACTGAGCTGCTGCGCATTTATTTTGGCTTGAGCAATTTGTGGAGTGCTGGCAACAGAGCTGTACTTCAGCTTGTCTATGCTTTGCCTGTAGTTTACCTAATTTAAAATCAAATAGAAGATTTAATAAAGGAAGAAATGTTCAGACTGGAAAATGAGAGATTGTGTAGACAAAGTTTTGTTAGCTTATATTCTTGATAAATCATTACTTAAACCATAATAAATTGAGATGAGGTAAAACACCAGGATCTCTTGGATGAGATCTGAGTTAAGGCTCTGAAAATTTCCTAGTCTGAGGTCACAGTTTTTATTCCACTTTGAAAATGAACTTCACCCCTTCCCCTCAAAAGCATAAATTCTTAAAAAGATGCAGGTTTAGCTGGTCCCCAAAGCATTCCTCTCAAAATGATATCCTTAACCATCACTCAGAATATTTTTATCTTTATCAGAGTATGTCTATAAAGGAATATTGTAACTGCCTGTCAAGAGTTCTGCCCACTATAATGCTGTGCAGAGTAAATGAACTCTCTTACACTTTGTCTTTACTGAATTTTCATTTAATAATTAATCACAGAATTTCCCTGGCAAGAGTTTTGTGTGGATGATAGGAGAAGAAAAATAGATATTTATGGTACAAAAGAAGACATTTTAGTGTCACCAATTCATAGGATTGTAGCCCACTAAATTCCTAATGCATTAACATGGTAGCAGGAATAATAAGCTATAAAATAAGTATCTTAAATCCTCAAATTATGCAAGATAAAAAATCATGGAGAAGCTTTCTTTCAAACCTGTTGCTGCCAAAGGACTCAGTGCCACACAGCAGGACACAATTATTATTCTCTGTAGGCCGTAATTAATATTCACTGTAGTTAATCACCACTTCGCAAACATTGCAAATCATATTGCTTAAAACTAGTTTAAGAACATTTTTTCCAGTAAAGTGGAGGATATTTCTAGAGACTGAGTTACTGAAACATTTTAATGTGAACCTTCTTATCTCAGGTATCCTTGCATAAACTTTGTTCTTTCTGTGATAATGACCAAATCTGGGAAAAACGGCTTGAATTATCTCACAGGTCCAAAGTGATCAAGGTACTTAAAGCAGTTCATCTACTTCTTTACAGAGAGAATTTTACTTCCACAAAAAGGGATTTCTTTTTAACTGAAACTGTATTTATTGCTTCTTGTGATTGCTTAGTGTGCGAGAGAGTTGTATTCTGAAAGAGTTCACAGTAAGCATGTTGGTTATCAGTGAGCAGATGAGCCCTGGGACTGTTCAAACTACTAAATGATGGTCATGACTAGTGCAACTGAGTCTCTGTGGCCAATTGATTTATGTGCTCCAAAACCGAATGCTGACTATGAATTGTAGAGCCACAGGTAGTGCTGAAATGTTTAGAGTGAGTAGAACTAATTTGTACATTTTGGACATGAATTCATGTTTACTTCGAACTCATTAAGAATACAATTGCCTCACAAACTAAGCAATAAGGTAGTGAACTACTTTTTAAAAGCTTTTCCAAAGACAAAGCTGAAATTTCTGCTCAAGAGGCAATAGTGCATCTTACAGTTGAGGTATATCAAGTACTTCCTCAAAAACGTCAGGGTTCTTAGTTCTACCTCTTCATGCTACCTTTTTTTTCTTGGAAGAGGTATTTAGGCCCAGATAAATCTCATATAATGTTAATGGCCTCTCTAAGGCATCTTGCCCCTGGTTTCTTGCCATTTCAAAGGAAAGACAGGTTATATATATCCTAGGTAGTCAGAAATGCCTTGCAGAGGTGCTGCTCTCTTCCTGTCAATTTTATAATTAATGCTTGGTGACTGTGCTCCTAACTAAGGCACAGGTTAAGTTCCCAATGGTAGATGAGATCAATCAATGCTTAATGCTTGTAAGAAGTTGAAGTATGGTATCCTCTACAGTCTGATGTCTTCCATTTATCTGTAGAGCACATATAACCACAGCAGTACACAAATTTTCTGGACTCCCTGCACTTTTTTGCTTTAACTTTGTTATCACTAGCTGTTTGCTCCCATGATTAAATCATCATTTGACACATGCAATCTATCACAATCTCTCCTATAGAGAGATGATGAGCCATACAAGTCATAGAAAAAAAACCCATAAAATTATTTACATCTTTCAAAGGGACCAACTTCCTCGTTGTCTGATACGAAGGAGTAAGAGTAGCTGGGTAATTGTAGTCAACACCGTCATGTTTGTAATCAGATTTATAGGCTATCTGAAACACAGGGAGAACAAAAAAAAAATCAGTCTGTTTTTTTTCAAGCTGTCATTTGTTTGAATAATTATCAGTCAAGAGGAAAGGAGAAACAATAATATTAATATTAAATGCAGGAAACAAAGTAAGTTCAATGTCATGAGTGACAAAGAAAATGAAATTATTTGCATAGTTTAGCCACTAATTGATTCTTTTTCAGCTCCTCAATTAATCCAATGCCAACAGTGGGAGCATTAACTTAACTTCCACCTATGACACATCTCTTTTATCTTTCTGCTTAGTTCTCAAGCTTCTTACAGATTTGTAAATAATGTACTTGAAGGAATGGTATGTAACAAAATAGCTTCTTGACTAACCCAGTAAATTAAATTGGAATCCAGAAATCTTCATTAAAGACTATTTTTTCAGCAAAGGTCTGACCCTGGGGGTGGTGGCAAGCAACCTTCAGCATCCTACTGATGTCAAAGAAAACTGAAGGAGCACAGTATGTTGCCAGATCACTGAATTTGCTTATTTTAACTTCTTCCACACAGTGAGCTATAAATCAGTACAAAAGGATTTCCAGAATTTCCCCTCTTCTCAACATATCTACCCTTCAGATCCCCAGTACAATACAATCTAGTTTTCTATCAACTTAATTCCGGAAAAATTCAAAGACAAGAAAGCAACAATCATAAAAGTGTGATTAAAAAAGACTTACATTGCTTGCCAAGCCACCAACTTTCATGGCATGTAGCATTCGCTTGTCCATGCCGATACCTACATAATGACCTTTCATCTGGTTCTGGTAGGTTTCTTTGTATTTAACCTGTTAAAAAAAGGCAAAAGTACACTGAGAAAATATATTTAGTTTTTCTATGAGTTTCCATGTGTTACAGCAGTGAGACAAATTATTACAGCTGTGGTCTAGTGTTGCACCACTACAGAAACTCATGAGTCCACAACAACCTTGGTACTTTAAAAAATAAAACCTAAAACCCTCTGTGAGTTTCCTATTTTAAAAGATGTCATTTACATATTCTTCAGATCACCTGGATGCCACATAAAGGAGATACCTCTGCATTCTATTGCTGCACATTGTTTCATCAGAAATAAATATTAGAACAAAGTTGCAGGGAAACATTAGTTGTACATTAACAAATGAACACATAACCATCTACCAAAACCAGTGTGTTTTGGTGCAGCTTTCAGCAAGGCCAGAGCAGGGAATTCGACAACAATATAAATTAACCACTCTACCATCTCATCTGTATGGCAAAAGATTTACTCCTCCCGGATTTCAGAGAATGATAGCAGGCAGTATAAAGCAAAATTATACTTCAGCATCATGAGATACAAGCAGTATCATTATTAATATTGATTACCTCCACACAGTAAACATGTTCCTCTCTGGCATTAACTCTGGTAAAGTATCTTCTGCCTACCTTTTCAGTCAGGAAATGGACATACGTAATGAAATAAGAAATAATTATGGTAGACAGCAGTAACAACTGCCAGCTACTTGTATAGATTAGCAGTCCATTGTAAGTAACCTGTCTTCCATATATCATAATAGTTCTTTTCATAATCCTATATTAAATGAACCCCACTGATCCTAAGAACAGACTAGGATAGGTGCCGTACAGCCATGGGTTAAAATCAGTTATAATCGAATTCCCAGTGCACACTTATCTGAAACACGCACACAGATGACTTGCAATTCCAGCAGCTACCAGGTTAAGCAAGCCACACATGAGGCACTGAAAACTTACATCACTGGTGAATTTTGAGATCTTGCTCATATTCTTGAATTGTGGAGTATCACAGTAGTTCATGCTGTAGCCTCTGTTGTTTCCGAGATCCTTCTTATACTCCACCTTAGTGACAAAAACGCACAAGGGAAAGTTATGGTAAAACCTTAACCTGCTCTGTCAAGTTCCTCCATACACTTTTTATTAGCCAGACCCACTGCTCAGAGATTGTGATACATGGCTTTCATCAGATGGCATATGATAAAAATTAACATGAAGATGATTTTCATATACTCAGTTCTCGCTTTATAGACAAAAGAACTGCAATCAATTTCATCCATTTGGACCTCGGCAAAGTGTATGAGACAGTGCCACGGGGAAAATTATTAACAAACAAGGATTTATGAAGGAATTTTAAGGTGAGTGTGGAGCAAACAAAAGCAGAAAAAGCAATGGCTGTTTTACAACAGGAAGGTTTGAACAGGAGGAAGTTTACCAGCAGAATTCTTCAAAGTTTAAATTCAGAATTGGTTTAATATTTTCATTAAGTACCTTTGCTCTGAAGTAGGAATGTTGAGGGTGATATTAAAAGGGCTAATAGAAATAGGACTAAATTCAGCAATGTAGAGGTTAATATACATAGAGAGTAGTCATAAAAATTTCAGCTATAAGTGCTCATCACCTGGAAAGGCTAAGAAAGAGAAAACTGTTCATATGTAGGCTGACCACAGAAAGATGGCGAGATGCCAAAGTAACACAGCCATGAAAAAGGCAAAAGCAGTCCAAGGCAGGAGCAAGAGACTTTTTAGCAGGAAGCGTGTATGCTATGTACCAGGTTCCAGCAAGACCTCATCAAGAACTTATGTACTCTTACAGTCATTCCTGTTTAAGGAACATGCACTCAGCCTGTAACAGCTGCAGTGAAAGACTGTGAGAGATGAGAATTTGGCTTGCTTAGTCTAGGAAAACAGAAAGAAGAAAATTATATCTGTTTGTAAGCATCTCAGAAAGGTAATCATGCAGGGAAAAGAACTTTTTAAACTAAAGGGTGATGTTGGCACAAAACACAATAGTAATAAAGTGGACAGGAATAAATGTAGGCTAGAAATTAGAAGAGGAGTATATGATACTGTGCCGAAACAGCAGGAGCCAGGAATCATTGGCCCAGGAGGCCCCTTCCAGTCCTACTTCCAGGGGTTTTTCATTATTGAAGGTTTTATACTTTGACATCTCAAGAGTATAAGTTTTTAAACTGCCATGGGGAAGCTCTAGAAACTCACATTTATTAATAGCTTTATAGCTGATATGACATTATAAATAAATTAATAATTCAGAATCTACTGAGAATTCCCTAGCAATCTTCCCTTGCCAAGCAGAAGAAGAATGCATTATCAGTAACTCTCAGTCTTTCACATGATGGAAGAAAACAGAAACCTGTATTAACAGAACTGTACAAATTTTGGCTCTGTTGGTGTTATTTTTTAACTATCAGTAGAACTTTCTTTGAAACACACTAAGGTACACACCCAAGTCATCCTAAAGCATTTATGATTATAACTGCACAGCACATTAGCAGCACAATTCAGGTTTGGGGAGGTTTTTTAGATTTCTATTTTTCATGTGGCCATAATTAGAATTTCTCTTCTGGGGTTAATTTACCATACTTTCATACATATTATTTCCCATACTTTCATACAGATCATTGGAAGTGCTTGATAACAGCACCTGAAGATCTGTTCTTGCACCTTTCTCTCCAGTTACTGTGCTACACACAGACAATTTTTGCTACATTTGGGGTAATAAGAACAACAGCTTTTTATATTTGTAGTCCTTATCCATCAGACAAATGTTTGTATGAGCTGCTCTCAACTTGTTAACAGATCGATTCAACCCCTTACCTCACTGACAAGCTTGTTAACACTTTGGGCTTGTTTAAGGACTAAGTTGTCTTCAGCCTTCAGGGAGTGAAAGTGAGCTGCACCTTTCATCTTGGAAAGATCTTTCTTGTATTTAATCTGAAAAGAAGTAGGGAAAATTATAAAATAGATGTCTATCTTTTCACCATTGCTATTTAGACTGGCTTCATGAGTCGGGATAAGATTTTTCCTATTTTTGCTTTGATAAGCAAATAGAACTTGCTCAGTTGAAACATCGCAGGTTGTTGCTTCCTGAAATAAACCACATATAAAATCACAGCCCTAACAATCCCTGTCAAGCCACCTGATTAGACAGTATTTTTTTAAAATCCATTTTTAGATAGATTGAACAGCATTGGTTGTTGTTTATAGCTTGAACAGATAACTAGCAGATTCCTGGCTAGTGACTGGTTGGAGCTTGTGTTCTCTTCTATTACTGAAGTTAATTCTCAGTACTTTAATTTTAGACTTCGAGTCAGAAAATTACAGATAGTCATCAAGTGCTCTGTGAACTTTTCCTTTTGTAGAAACCAGCTTTTTAGAAAAGCTCTATCTTTGTGAACTTATGTTTTTAAGGGAATTACATTTCTCTACCAAATGAAGATTGAAATAAGGGATCTGTTAATTTAATTTAGACATCAGGTTATTGACTTAAATTGGGCTCAGATGGGGGAAGAGAGATAATACTTATATTGGCTTTTTGCCAAACTTGGTCCAGCAAAAACCCTGTTTGGAATATATTTCAATATTTCTTGCATACAAAGGAGATGCTTATGTTCTTCATCTTATGTTACTGCTTCAAAAATTAGATTCATAATGTACAAAATAACAAATTATTTTAAATGTGCTGAAGTGCAAAATGTTTGGGTTTTTTATTTTCCAAGTCTGCACAGTTTCTCAGGCTTTAAAGATATGAAGCAGCTTGATAAGTACTCTAGTGTGCAAATGTTACTGCCATGAACCAACCCTTCTCCTCACTCCAGGTATTACAAATTAATAAGGAAACTACTGACCATTAGTATTTTGAAAACCTATGAAACTGCCATCTTTATCTGGAAAGGTTAAATATTTCATGTTTAAAAAGGGGATCACTGAGTTTGTCATCAAAATAGGGATTGGTCACAGAAGGTTTCAGGTTTTTTATATCCTCTCAGTCATAAGCTCACGTAACAGAAAATGACTGATCTTTTCACTCTAGTTTACCACTAGTGTCTAGTCCAGGCTAGGACAAGCTGAAAGAGTCAACTATTAGCTCCCTAGAAAACAGACTGAGCCCACCAGCTCAGATAGTTCTATGTGGGACAGGTGTCCACGCTACAAAGGCTGTCACTTGCAGGAACCCTTCACAGCAGCCACAGGGTAGGGACCTACAGACTGACCCATTTATTGTCACTACTAGAAATGGTCTCCTCAAATAGGACTGCAGCTCTTTAATCAGTGGGCTGCATGCCAGAATCACACATCACCACCTTTTTTGCCGATTCTTTAGCTTACCACCCAAAACTAAAAATCCCCAGCCTAGAAATAAGTTCAGGCTTGTGAAGTGACAGTGTTGTACTCCGTGGTTTCTTTTCCTCCATATGACTTGCTTTGTGCTAGAGGCATGATACATCAAAATATCAAAACCAGTTCAGCTCATTCATCCTCCATTTATTCACTACTGGGAATACCACAGTAGTCCACAGGATGATTAAGGCAGTTGAAGGTTTCATTAATAATACAGGTGCAGATTTGCCAGGAGGGTTAACCTAACAGTAGGGATCCCCATTAGTTGCTACATCCATCTCCTCCCTCATGCAAGTTGGAGCTGTGTCCCTTTCTATTAATGGATGTTATTAATCCCCTGAGCCATCCAGTTCCCAGCAATGCGGTCAAATGTCATTGTTGTTTACTTCTCAAGTGTAATTTTAGCATTCTCCTCCCAGGCACTGCTCTGACAAACTGCTAGTTTTAATTGTTTATGAATTGTATTGACTCAGGTTTCATACTTACATCACTTGCCAATTCATTTGCTTTCTTGGCATTTTGATAAGCTGGAGTGATCATAGCAGGAAAGCTTCCTTTCCCTCTGCGTTCTTCATACTCATCCATATAATCCTGAAGAAAATTCAGTGTGTTTACTCGTCATACATGAGCGGGTGGGGCCATGGGTGATTTCACAAAGCCCTATAGTCCTTGTTAGTAGGAAAGTTCATTGCTTCATTTTATCATTTTTTTATGAAAAAGAGAATAAAATTACCAACTCTAAGAATAAAATCACCCATTAACTGTGCCTGTAAAAATTACTTGTGTTGCATTGCAAGTGGAATTGAGGTAGCAATTAGCTGCGGTCAAGATAGCATTCAAGTATGCAATGATATACATCCCTCTAATCTCACCTCAGTTTTTACAAAAATTATATCTGCTAGCCCCTCTCTTTGTCAATATATGTTTCCCTGGAAAACTATAAAAATATCTAATGGTTTGTGTAGCCAGGAGATTTGCTTTAACTTTCCAAGTCTAGCCTTCCTCTGTGACATGACAGAAGTCTTTTGATCTTCCCATGGCCATTTCTCACATCATAACTGACCAAAAATAATATTTCTCTAGTACAATGATATATTTTGAGGAGGGATTCACTAATGAAGCAGAAATATCTTGATATTAAAGTGGTAAACTCCTTAAGGAACAAAATCACAAAATTTCATTTGCTTGATTTAAAAAAATAATTGTTGTGGAATTAATACTCTGAAATCTATCTACAGATAAGCTTATGTGTAAATGTTTGGCAATTTGAAAAGCCTTTTGATAATTTAATAACAAAATACTGGAGCTTTTTTTAAAATGGTAATACACAGTGACGATGTCAAAGCTTTGTATGGCAAGATCTGGGGAGAATATGCTAAGTATACAAACAAGTAAGATACAGTGTAATGTGTTTTCTCTGTAATATTTTACAAATTCTTTGTTGCAAAGAGCCAGTTGTTTAAGTAAAAAAAAAAAAAGTGTGGCAGGTCAAGAATCTTCCAGATAATTAATTTTTGCCACTTCTAAGATTTTTAAACATGAACAAACCAGGTGTTCAGCACATAGGAATTTTACAGTAAGATTCTTTAAATTGTCTCATTATCTATTTATCTGTATGATGCACCATCATGATCTCAACAGTTAGAAATCTAATCCCTTTACCCATGTTAAGTCACACTTCACTCAGAAAGATCCATTAATATCAGTGGCTGTATTTTATTTGAATAAAATATCAGAATCCAATCTATGAAGATTAAAACTCAAATTAAATTTGAAGTCTGTGACTGAAGTTTCAAAGATACTTTCAAAGAAAAGAAAAAAATTAATTCTAAAGATAGCAGCATTCCAACACTTGAAAATGCAATTAGCACTTTTTCAAACTCATTTTATTTGTTTATTCTTACTAAAACTTGTAGTAATTCAAAAGACAGAAACTAATTGAAGCCTTCAATGCCACATATTCTAAACTCATATTCTTCAAGGATAGTTTGCTTTTTGCACATTACAAGATGTAGGTTTGGACAGAAATGAAGAAATGTAAAACTCCCAAATGTCTTAGGACAATATATTCCCTGTTCCTTCATTTCTCCAAAGTATATGGGTCTCATGAGGAGCTAGGACAAAAAACCTAAGACTAACATACAGTTTTGTTTATACAAAACCACTATTCAATTCCTTTCAAATTCCCTTTAGCTGTATTCAGTTCTATTTAGCTGTACTATTTCCCTGACTTAATTGAAATAAAACTTTGGATGCATTTTGGGAGACCACAAAATTATTGCATTCCCTTAAAAATTAAATAAAAGCAAAATGAATGCCACCGACTAAAACATAGCTAAAGCTTATTTGGATCCACAAATGCAGAACTACAACTTGTCAAGCTTACAATACCACTTTTGTAGAAGAGCTGAAATCTAAGAAATTGTGTACGATCTTCAGTTCCACTTGCACATATTTAGAGCTGCAAAGCTTCTAAAATTTCTAAAAATACTGGCAGGGAAAAGATGCTTAAATATCTACTAACTTTCTACTATTTCACAGCCCTTTCACTTTTTCTCCTAACCGAATTTACATTTTCTTTCTTATGGAATGGGAAAGTTTCCACAAGTAAGCACATTTCAGTGTGATACGTAACACCACCACAATAGAAATGTATAGTGCATACATGCACACAGATAAAATCTGCCAAGGTAAGGCTTACCTTTTGGAATGATTCTACCATAAGGATCATGCAGTGACATTGCATGCACCCTGAAGTCTCATCTTGTAAGTGCCAGGGACAAATATATTATACACATTCAGAGCATGGTGCTGTTGCACACCATCTTTTCCTTTGAGACCTTGCTTTCTCATACAGGAAAGCAAAGTGAAAATAGATCTCAGTGCAGTTTCTAAAGTCTTGAGCAATCAGCCATAGTATTGATCAACATCAGCATGGGTATCTCTCAGATGTTGCATACCTGGCCATATTGATCTACATTTTCTCTTGCAAAAGTAACATCTGTTCCAGCTGTATGGCTGGCTTTTCCCTTGATCTCTTTTTCATAACTTTGATGATACTTTACCTAACAGGAAAAAAGAAAAGGAAAAGAATCATCTGGATGAGTTTAGTCCGGTACATAGATGCTGCATAATAAATACTAATCAACAACATGCACATGTTGACAATAAAAGATTGTCAGAATTCCCATTGTCATCAATCTACAGAAGTCAAATATTGCACTTGAAGATATAAAAACAAAAATAGTGGTGTACTTTTTAACAATGCACTAGAAACATGGGGCTTGCCAGTTCAACCCAGACCATTAGTTCAGTGTGTTCAGTACCCCCTGCTTGTCAGTGGCTAATCCCTGGTGCTCCAACAGGTTAAAAATATAGAACTGATTGCAATGTAAATTCATGGTTACTACAGAGCACTTTTTTTTATCACAGGGTCATCTGAACACCATTAATAAATGGGCTTGTTTCTGAAAGATGCTGATATCCCAAATGATCAAGGGAATTTTAGACAATGAACCTTCAAGTTTAGACCAAGATTTACACTACCTTTGCTGAAGTCAAAATAATGCCTATAGCCTGATGGTGCCCTTTAATCACCATGTGTGTTTGCTGACATAAATGAAAGGTTTTCCACAGATCAAAGGCAAACAAAAACATTTAAATGTTTTAAAGTCAGTTGCTTTTGCCTTAAAAATTACAGATCTCTTCTTATTTTCCTCAATGACTCTTAATAATGTTTTAAATTCACTTCCATTGGGTTAGCACAATGTTATCTTCTCCAATAAAAAGAGCTTTCCTTTCAGTCTCCAATGACAAAACACAATTAACTGTACATTTTGAAGCAATACTGATGTCCTGTTACAGTGTCTTATAAAGAAAAAAAAAAAGTGACTTTGCTTTGACACTTACATCACTGGCTAATTCATTCGCTCTCTTGGCTATTTCATAAGCTGGAGTGATCATAGCAGGAAAGCTGCCTTTCCCTTTCCGTTCTTCAAAGTCTTCTGTGTATTTCAACTGTAAAAATCCAAGACAGTTCATGAGCAATTAGATCAAATGTATCTTGATTGCACACATAATCAATTCTTAAAGTTGCAAAGTCAGGCATTGAACGGCTGTCATCTGCCAAAAGGAAGATGAGCCATGAAGTCTGAATTTTTGCAATGTAGTCTTCAACTACATGATCCCGTATCTTCCGCAGGACCTCTGTGTCTCATTCAGTGTATATGATGGATCTCAGTTGTTTAAAGAAAATACTGAAGTTGCCTGCAAGATGCCTGCTCTATTTATGTTAGAGTCAGGCAGCTTCCTTCTTTACCTTGCATGGCACCCAGATGCCATGCCACTAGTTCTCCACCTTCAGTTCTGACAGCTAGTCCCTAAAATGGCCTAGAACCGAATATGGTCTTTAGAACTGGAAGTATTAAATACTTAATGGTAAAATGTATCAAGAATATTTTAAGGCAATACACATTTCAAGAGTCTGCCTTTCAAATATTAATTTTTTACTTTTCTTTATGTTCATATTTTTAAGTGATTTATAAGTGTCCTAAGAGCCACTTGCAGAGTCAAAAACAGCCCAACCTATTTTGTTTCACTTACATCACTTGAAAGCTGTCCTCCAACCTTTGCATGAAGTATATCTGGAGTGTCTACAACAGAGGTGAACTTTGAAACTCTCTCTTCATGTCCCCGCTTGTATTCTACCTGAGGGACGAAACATATAAAATACATATTACAAACAATAAGCAGCAGATATGCATTTTCTATCAGAAGACTGCAAGAGAAAATGAGCAACAGCAGTCATGACACTCCCTACTGTACGGTCAAGCTATCAGTATATTTAAGGCCCAATTTCCTTAAAGTGAATGCCAGAAGCAGACAGAAATGGAACCAGATAATCAAATTTTCAAATTATACTAGATTTATGTGAGCCATACATTTGATTAAAACATTATGAGAATAGTCATTAATGGCCCAAAACACTAAGACCACACTGCAATGACAATGCAGACAGTGTTTGCAGAAAACAATGCAATACTTTAAAATAATTTCTACCGAATTTATTTTTACTTGATCTTTTTTTGTTGAATTATTATTTTTTACAAATAAGCAATTTTCTGTGTGCATAATTAAATTAAATATCACAGTGTTTTTATTCCATATTATGGTATTTAACTTCAAATAATAATGCAAGCAAAAAACATCAGATGTAAATAAATAGATTAATAAAGCCATAAAGAGAAAATAAAGGTAATGAATTAAATAAACATTTTAGTGTGATTCACGATCTCTTTCAGGTTGTGATAAATTACAGCAAAAGTGGCTACATATTTCAGAAAATATCTACCTTGCCATTTATGATTGTCTTCCCAAGCCAAGTAGTTTGTTAACTCTGTTTCCTGCATCATGATAAAGGTTTCTAATTTTGTGGAACTAAGAGTACAACAAATATCCATCACAGAACCTACAGTCTAAAGCAAATGGCCTAAACCCTGGAGTCTCCAAATTCAGAAATCTAACATAAAATTAAAAAAAAACGTGACTTACGTTACTGCTTAGTTGGGTGGCTCTCTTAGCGACCTGATAACCTGGAGTGATCATAGCGGGAAAGCTGCCTTTGCCTCTCCGTGGCTCGTATTCTTCTGTATATTGAAACTAGAAAATGAACATTTTTTGTTCTGTTGTTACAGAAGAACCCATTGTAGTTTAATGTGATTTCTTTTTTAATGCTTACTTCCTAAAGGTATGTATCACTTTATTTAAAAGTAAAAAAAAATTAAAGAAATTACACCTTATAAGTTTGTTAGGTAGAAATATTTCCTACATACAACAGAAAACATTCCTCATTCATATCAGTTATCCACTCTTAATTGACTATGTTGACTGAGTCACTAACCCATTGTATGGGCACAGACAATCAGTCATAATTCAGGAGTGATTTTCATCACTCATGGAAATACAGTCAATGAAAGGTCTGCTCTGGAAAATAAGACACGTTTTCCATCATGACTTCTGCTCTACTGAGGGAAACACCAGTGCCTGCTAGATCAGGATATAATAAAGTTCACCTCAGATATCTTTGGTCAGTATTTGACGTGCTTCTCAATTACATAAATATATAAATGTATGATTTTCAGGATGGGCAATAGCATTGTACTGTGACTTCAATCACTTACATGGTTAAATATTGTTATTGACAGAAGCAAACATGTCAGTCTCTCCTTTGGTAACATCTCACCAAAGGTTGGCTTTGATGCACTGCTAAGTGTTTAGAATACGATAGCCCATGAAAATAAAGCTATTCCAAACACCAGCCCACTTACATCACTCAGAGTCTTCTGTGCCTGTGTTATCCTCACCATCTCAGGATCTGGGATGGTTCCCAAGTACCATGATTTTCCCTCCTGATAGGCAGCATAGTAAGCATTCTACAAAACAAAAATTAAATAACTACAAATATTCACCTGTGTTTTAATACACAAACAGCTGAACTGACAGAAAAAAAGGAAACACACACACTGCTGTGGAAGTGAAATTTACCCTCTGCAGCCGTACAGCACAAGGCCTACACTGCACATACCTTCAGAATACCAGGACAGAGCTTGTACAACAAGAACTGACATCAAGATGTCAGGATCTAGGATCCTGGACTCAGACTCAAATTATTCCCCCTGGGAATCTGACCGCTTGTGAAGCTTCAGTGTCAGTAGAAAGAAGACACATTGAGTATGGCTGTACGTGCAGCAGTCCAAACAGCTAACTGTATAGATACACTCTTCCTTCCTCATCATCTGATTCTTGCACCCTAAGCTATAATCAAGCTATGCTGCCTTGAAAAATTTAGTGAAATGAGAAGCTACGGCTTTTTTAGCATTGTAATGCTGTCAGTAAAACCCCAACAATCAGGACTGCAAAGGCCAATCCTTGGTCTGCCGCAGTCTAGTGGCTTGGAGGCTTGAGGGATATTTCTTACCTGGGTGGCCAGCTGTTGGGCTTTATAGGCAGCTTCAATTTCTCTGGACCTTACATCCCATTGAAAGACTGATTTGATTTGTTCACCCTCTTCTCGATATTTTATCTGTAAAAAAATTAACTTGGTATTAGTAGTTTGTCAGTATAGACTAACGCACACCTCTCTCAGGAGAAGAAGAAGGGAGTCAAACAAGGTGAACACAGTCTCTTAGTCCACAGTGATATGGAGCCTGCATGAACTGCAGCAACAAAAGGAGACAAAACAACAAAAACAGTGCAATTCCCACCACTAACCCACTTCAGTGCCTGCTAGTTTTGGCTGCACCTTAAACCAGTCTAAAGGAAGGCTACTTTCAAAAACACCTCTGGCCCTACTAGGCGACCATTATTCTTGTCTATCACACAGACACTATCAGACAGACAGCCGTGGGGCAAATTAGACCAGGGAATTAGTATGTCGGCTTTTGCTGCATTAGCTTTCAGCTATGTCAGTTCCTCATCTGCCTCAGTGCAGAAATCATCAATACCAACACAAGAGGAACAATGTGACTGCACAGAACTAATTCTCTGGGTGGCAGCAACAACACAACTCAGTTTAAGATGATTTACTCTAGTCATCGTGTTTACCTGTGTCTGTGTGTTAGATCTCCAATTGCTATAGACCAGCCCAGTTTTTGGTGCCAACTTCACCCTGAAGACACATTTATATATGATAGGAATGCAGAAACCAATGGACTATGACAAACACACCTGATCCACAAAATCTCCACAGCCCACCTTCTGAGAGCTTGCAAAACTCCACCTTTTCCTCCTTCTCGCTCTTTAGAGCAACACCACTTACACCCTGCTTACGTACAAAAAGGCCACATAGCCCGTAGCTCTATGCCATGCAAAGACGAAAAACACCAAGATGACATAAGTACTTCCTCCACACTGCCCATTCTTGGCAAAGGATTTTTCATGGAAGAGAAGATTGCATTTAGCTCTAAGGTCAAAACTGTACTCTCTAATCCACACTCAGCTTCTGCCTAAGATTTCTGCTATTATTGGAGCTGTACATCTGTAAAGGAGTAGCATATTAGACCTGAAATCTGGAATGAAGTTCTGAAAGAATAATTTGGTCTTTAGATAATACTTTTGGGGGAACTAATCTGTGAGGATTGAAATCCCTAAGAAATTTTAAGCAGAACATATCAATGCAGCATTAGATGAAAGAACTATTACCTGGTGGACAATATTCTACTCTTCTATTTCCCTGCACAGTGTCCACAAAATATCATGACTGTGTAAATGTAAATGACTACTAGATTTAGTACATTTTCCTACTGTTAATCATGATAGCATACAGAAATCCAACTGCAATCACAGCTCTGTTATACAACTCACTCTACAGATGCAAAAATTCACAGTCCCTGTCCCAAAGAGTGCAAAATCTAAACTGACTGGACAGAAAAATCACTAAGCATGTGTATCATTATTCCCATTTTATAAATTAAGTACAGAAGCACTGAGAGATGAATGATTTGTCTGGTCACACAGAAATTCTGTGTAAAGAGAGTGAGCTGAATTTTTATCTCTGCATTTGAGTCGGTGACTCAACATAAGACTTATGTGAGAATTCATGTTAGGATTGAAGAAACGTTTTATTTTCTGCATAAGAAATAATCTTACTTTAAAAACCCCAACACACTACAGCATCAATTGAAACTTTTTCCCAAGTTAGCATTATTTTATACATCTATCAATGGAAAAGTTTTCCTGCACTCATAATTTCTACAGAAGTACTCCCTTTAAGTACTGCAGAATCAGCTTCTTTAGTACCCTTAGCAATTTTCTCTCTGGAGCAGAACCTCATTATGTGATTGAAAAGGACAGAAGGTGCTTTAGGTGTAAAAAACAAGGGAAAGTGATCTTTGAGCTATAATTTGTCTGGAGTGTATATTCACATGCACTGGAAGTATCAGAGTCTCATATCACTGCCTAAAACCAGAAATAGAACCTGCAGTAATCCCAAATTCATTCCTGACCAGATCTGTCACACATAGTTTAAAGTAAGTGCAATAGTCACTGCTGAAATAGTTACTGCCCATGATATTGCAAAAACTGATGCATAAGAATACTGTACACGCATGATAAAAGACACAGTGTCTGATAAATGTACATTATCTTATTGTACATGCTATTAATGTACATTAACTTTGTACAGCTAATACAGAACATCAGAATGAATTTAATATACTGTAAGAAATACAACTTCTTTTAATGATGGCTAATCACATTGAAACACACTGGTTTACAATATTACACATGGAAGTGAGATTGCTATCAGTTATTGGCTGTCTCTATGTTTCTCATTTCATTAAATTCTTAAAATGCAAGTTTGAAACAAACGTATGTGGAGGAAAACAATGCAAGGCAGAAAAGAATGGCATTTGAAAAGAAAGAAGACTTTGAGCACCCCTAGAGGTTTCCCGGGGCACGGCAGCCTCTTAGAGGATAGATGCAGTTAAAAGGGCTTGGAAAGCTAGTCCATCCTGAACGCTTTAGCAAAACATTTTCAGCAAAACCATGCAAAGCTCCCTGGACTTCATGTTTTCCCACAAAAGGAAATATCATCTCAGGTTTGTCAGAAATACTTGACAAAGTATTTATGAGAACTTTTGCCTACATCATACTGAGATAGAATTTACTTTTTGTTTCGTGCCCTTTAGTATCAGTTTCAGAAGAGATTATAAAGCAAGTAGGTCATTCTTGTTTCAAACGTCTGTGCAACCCCCTCTGATTTAGTTACTAAGTTTACATAGCTCTGGGCAGTATCTCCCACAGCTAATGTGAACAATGCTTCCATGTAGATTATCAGATATGGCAAGTGAGAAACTGCTATCCATTTTTCTTTCTGAAAGTAGAAGCAAATTCAGATATAACCTCTCCTTCTTATGAGTGAATGCATTTTAAAAATTATGATTAAAACCTGGGCTGAGATCTTACTGCTCTAAAAGAACACAGGAGGTTAAGTAAAGAATACATATCTACATTATGCAAAGAATACATTTCTAAACCAAGACATGAATATGATATCAAAATGTAAAACAAAGCTAAATACATTTGGGCCTCAAGCTTCTTACCTCACTTACCACTTCCGACAGTTTTTTTGCATTTATATTTATTGGTGTCTCAAATACACTTGTGAACGCATTGTTTTTTGGATTATGTCTAAAAAAAAGAAAACGTAGAAGGATATTAAGAATGTACCAGACAGCCCACCAGAAAGGTTCTTTTTGAGCGATCAAAAACACAATACCAGCCTCCACCCCTCTATACATAACTTTTCCCCCACTCACACACAGATCTCCGATTACATTCAAGTTATTACTATACGAAGTAGGTGCCTAGAGCAAAATTAATTTTAATGATCGTCATATCAATGCTGTGGTTCTAATAACAAAAGAGAATAATAGAATAAAAAACAACTGTCATCTCTCCTTTTTCTGCTGACAAATTTGACAGGAATTGATCATTATAAAATAAAAACTTCCTAGAACAAACCAACTCCAAAATCTGCATTTTATACATTTTCCTGATGATTAGCTCAACCTTGTTAACTCTTAACCGCTGATTTGGAAAGCACTGAATTTTATGGTTGGTTTATTTTCTTCCCTCAATACTGAAATGGAACTTAATTTGGTATCTTTTAACACACTGGACAAAATGAGGAAGATTTATATACAGTATCAAGAGTTTTCCATCATTTGTGAATCACATAAATCCAAAGATATGCTCAAAGGCACTAATGGTACATAATTTCACATCACACATGGGACCAGGCTGAGTCCAAATGGTGATCTTCTATCACATTAAAATGACTTGGCATTTTAAACCTTTGCTTTAAAAAAAAGAAAAGAAAACACACTTACGCTTGACAGTAAGGTTTTTTCTCATGGCTAACAAAGTTGTTTACTGTTAACATCATCTTGCATACTTCGCAATGAAAACAGGCTTTGTGCCATGTCTGAAAATACCACAAAACAGAAACCAAACAGACATGATTTGTATTTCATTATTATTCTGTTGAGTTTTAAATCCCAGTATTGATCTTTAACATTCATTTCATTAATTTGAAGAATTCTTCTTCAAATACATGCCTATTATTACATCATTTCAGTTCCGAATCCAGTTATGAATAAAGAATTTTTGGAACCAAGAAATTTGCACTGTGTTAAAAGTGCCAATCTATACATTTATTATAGTCCAAAATAATAAAGAAAGACAACTGACCTGATCTATACAGTTAATCTTCTCAGCAGGGTAAACCCCATAGCCACATCTAGCACACGGCTGCACATTCATCTTGAAATCCACAGAGTAAAAAATATATATAGGTTTATACAAAAGGTTCAAAGAGTATGAAAGTGACTTTTTGGCCTGTGCAAAGCACACTCTAGACACTCCAGTCAAGGCCTTTTGCTGTGGTCAATGGCTCCTATTAAAGCTCTGAACTGAAGTCTGTTGCTCCGTTTGCTGACCTTCTGTTTCAAAGTCAGCTGCAGGCTGGCTTTTAAAGCTGCCAGTTAGTAAGAGTGGTTATTTTGGCAACTGTGTCAGTGCGTAAGGGAGGGTAGCAATATCCATCTCTAAATAGAAGAATGAACTCACAGAAACGAATCATGTCCATGTGAATGTTAGAGTCAGATCATTTAGTATTTCAGTTTTGCTGCAAAGCCAGTTGTCATCAGCCCAGGATGAAAAGTATATACAGCAGCAGCAATTTGTCACAGTCTCTCCTCATCCTGATATACAATAAGTGACCTCATGGAGGACTACCCTGTGTTTAGGAACTGCCTCATATTCAAAGGAGGTCTCACCAGAGACACAGGCTGGAGATGAGTTTGGAGCTTCCTGGCCCTTTGTTGGATCTAGAAGAGGTACACAGCCATTGTTCCAGCCAAGTCATTCATTTTTTCCCTTGGTGCCTGCTCAGTTTCACCTTGTATGCTATGGGCAGCAGAGCACAGCACACTCATTTCTCATGTATTTCTGTTTCATCAACCTGTCACTCCATCTCCAGGTGCAGGAGGACGCACAGTGAACAGGGCAGAGCCTCTTATCTCAAAGTTCTAAACGTGATGGGTACAAATCCAAACATCTATCTCCTACAGGAAAAACTTCAGAAAGGAAACATTTACTTTTGAATAGAATGAACAAAGCAGCTATTTAAAAGTGTTCACAAAGAGTAGGCTGGCATAGATCAGACTATAAAAATTCCTCAGCCAAATAATGATAAGGAATTATTATGCCTGATATTAGGATTCAAGCAAGTTATTAGGGTTGGTCTGTAAGTCTGCTCTGAACAAAAGAAGCTATTAAATTCTACTGGCTACAAGTGGTCAGGATTTGAGATTTACATCTCACCTAATCATAATACCTCCAGCTGCAGGGCTCCATAACCCTGGGACACAGCTAAGAGTTATCTCAATCCAAGTAAAAGTCTACTTAGTTATCCATGCATCTGCACTACTTCCTGTGCCTGTAGTGGTCCTGGGATATTGCTAATCACTTTCCTTTTCTGTAAATTACATACAATTCAATCAAAATTATTTTTGGCTAAACTTTCTGTGTATGCTTAGAGAGCCTCTTATTCAGCTCTCTATGGAGATACACAGTTCTGCTTAATTTATTATTACTACTTTTACTGAATGCTGACAATGTACTGGCACAACGTACTGTCAGCAACTGGCGTGCTGAAAATAGAGTCTCTAATCTGAAGAGCAATGGGTATGGCACAAAGTCCTGAAAACACTTGAAGCCTTTCAAAGTAAGTAATTAATATCAGTATATAAACAGATGTACTTTAATTTAAAAAAAAAATGTTCACAGAACATAACTTCTTGTATTAAAGTAACTGCTGAGTTAACTCACGTTATTCTTTGTGGGATCAGAAGCAATTTTATATTGACCAGGTTACATCACAATAATATTTACCATGCCCACACCTGTGAACCAAAATAATTTGGAAGTCTTCCAGTTCCCTTCTCACACAGCTTTTCATCTTGTCCCAGATTGCCATTCTGTTTATGCAAGTGACCTATATTGGGGTCACAGTGGCCAGGCTGTCCCCTCCTTATTTAGCACTGGGCACACTACCAGCTGCTGCCTCTTTGCGTTCATCTACTGCAAGAGTCACCATACTGTGTATTTTCTAGATAGTCCTAGTTGTCTTCATTCTATCTGAATCCATGCTAAGAGCCCTTGTCTCACACTTTGGCAAGAAAAAAGATGCATGACCTGCTCCTGTCCCAGCACAGACAATACATTGCTTAAGGCTCTCCTGAAAGGAGTTCTGGGAGGTGCTGAAAGCTGGACATCCCTGAACCACACAAAACCATAAAGACTTGGCAACCACAGAACAAATAATTCATCCAGGAGCCACTTGAACATCGAAGATCCGGACAGGACGCCAGCCAGGAGCATCAGCGTATACAGCCCATATGCAGTGTGCACCCAGAGAGCATGCTAGAGGTCCCTGAGAAGAATGAGACCACGTGTTTCTTCCAAGACGCCTGTCAGACAGCTAGAAGCCCTTTATTTCACAGATAAAACTTAAAGATGTACAAAGCCTGTTTCTTTCTTTTCACAGCAACACATATTATCGGCTTGGCTGGAAGTTGGCAAACACATTTTCCAAGTTCTCCTGCTTCTCCCAAGCTACAGCACGTTCAAGAAGAGAAGCGCGGTAAGCCACAATGTCCTATACAGCTGCTGTCTTTCCCAGCCACGCTACTTCCCTCACATCCATTGTGAGGGAATGCTGGAGTCTGTTGAAGATTTCCCCATTTCTCAGCACCTCAAAACTGTCATGTTGCATGGTCTGTTCTTCACCACCCTGGATTAAAACTAAGTTGCTAATAGAAAAGAGAGTTTATTGAAAAACAAGCATTGTATGGTCACATCACAAAGTACGCACTGCATTTTGATCATGCAAGGAATTAAATCACAAAACCAGTGCAAGTTTGTTATCTTGACAAATCTTAGCAAGACATTTTCTCTTCAGTTAAAAGCTCATTGTGGCTTTTTTCCTCCTTTGGTAAGGCCCCATAAAGGCTCTTTGATATCAATGAAAATCTTAAAAGGCTTTACTTAACAGTAGAACCTTAATCAATGTGGTTTAAAGGTACTGCAGTTACGTGTAAAGTACAAGGACTCAGTACCTTGAAAGTGCAAATTAGTAGGAAGAAACATTGTTACCTCTCCAACCTCCTCAAATTCATTGAATTAACTGCATAGAAACCTTGGAGCATGTCTGCATCCTGAATCTGAATCTAAAAAGCATGCATTAGTTATACAAAGTAACCTCCTAACAGACATTCAAGTCAGGGCCGCCTTCTCTGTCACTCCTGAACAGCAGCTGTGCCCTTCCAGCCACAAGAATAGCAGGAAGCTAGACACCAGAAATTACGGCAACCCTATCATCCCTCTGTTTGCCAAAAAAAAAAAAAAGGTGCTGTTTCACTACACAATTTGGGGGTGTTATCCACTGTTAAGAGCTGCCTGTAAAAGTTCAAACACTAGCCCAGCCTCATCACAACCTTCTCTGAACCACGTGGTTAATTAGTTATCTGGTCTCAGGGCCTTTTGTCTCATATCACCTCCCCATGCTAATCAAATTTAGCATAGTAGCAAATCCAGCTTGCAAAAACATCAAAAGAAAGCTGGAAAAGATTTAGCAACACCAGGATCTCCCAAGACTTGAAGAAAAAAGTCTAAAGGATTGTCTTCCAAACTTGTACAGTAGCTTTTTACATTTTTGCTGTTTCAGAAACCAACCAACAACTGTTTACATTTCATGACTAAAAGGATCTGTGCTTACACTTTCCCTTTGTTGCCAGTGTCAGGAAAACTTGAGAGCATGGGTATTTTGCAAATGCTTCTAACAGAGCAAAGGAAAGCAAGAGAGGGAGTAGAGAGAAATGGAAAAAAGAACCAACAGGCTAAGAAGGCATCACTGTTACAGAGCAGAGAAAGAACTGGTGAGGATGTGCTACAATTTAAGCTGAACGCTTGAAGAAATGTGTGCAAAGCATGCACAGCACAGCCCATATGCATACAATGAGACCTCCAGTGGCCAAATATTCCCATTTATAATGTATAATAACCTAAAAATGACGAGGTTTAAAACTCGTAAAACATGGCATGTGCAACAGATCATCCCTGCCTGATTACAGAGAAATCCCACCAAAACACACACACCAAGTTGACTGAGATGCATTATTCTACCGAACAGCCCCCATATTCCCCACAGCGTATTAAAACCATTCATCCTTTCTTGCAAAACTCTATAAAAATTCTAACCACTGCTATTTAGGAGGGAACACCTCGCGAGTCACTGAAATCCTCCATCCTCAATGTATCCCCACACCCGCCTCCCAGGTCTCAGCAAAGCCCCATCCTTGTTTTCACAGATGTTGTGCAGAACACAGCACACAGTTATTATTCCAGACAGGTACTATTTAGTTGCCTCAAGCCTTCTAGTTTGTACCTGCCGTCTACCTTTCAATTTCCCAAAGGCACGCTCCATTGTCATCCTGCAGCTGCTTACATGGTAGTTAAACACTTATTTTCTGCAATGCAAATATCCAGTAAAAGGCTTCATTGTTAATGTTTTTAGGGAGTAGAGTGAGTCTCCTGGGGTAAGAAAAGGAATGCTGGTGCTATAGGTATCACACTGCTGGCTCTTCTCCCTGCCCAGTAATGCATACAGCCAGCTGTGCAATATTATACATGAGAAAATTTTTCCTTCCTGACCCTTCCCCAGGTAGCAATCACTCTATGCCCTGAAGCAAGATACTTCCTTTGACTTCTACTATCCTTTTAATTTCTCCCTTACTCATTACTGAAAATAAGCAAGATTTTCTGAATCATCTAGCACCTTACACTGTATTAAAATTGGTTAATCTAACATGTAGTTAAGAAAGGTATTGCAGCACACTGAGGAATCAGCATTTCTCTTTGTCAATGCCAGCAACCAATGTGAAAAGAAAATAGAAATAGGGGCTTCATCAACAGTTTGAGTCAGGAATTCCCCATACACAAATCTATTAGTAAACTCTTGAAAACTGGCAAGCATTATCAGATACAATATTCCTTTTTCAATAGCAATACAATGACTTTTAGAAAAAAGCTATTTCTAGGCCTACTAATTCAGCTATGGGGACTAGATGGCAATGGATAAACATTTTCATCAAGATACAGGTCACAGCTGGCAAATAGCTTCTGGATTTCCTAGGTAACCCCCATACACATCGTCAGGAAAGCACATCTGGATGTCCTGAAGCTCAGGTGCCACTGCCAGT